TGAGGAAGTTAACTTATCTCAAATTTAGGTAGACACGATTTATGACGATTAGGAAGACTCCCAGAGGCATGTAGTGACATTTAAGTCCGTTTTGTTTTAATCAGTTACAATACACTTTGACACAACTTTGAATAAGATAAAGAACACGCACGTGTACTTTTACCTGCTGACGACTTTGTTCTTATTTACTAGTTTGTAACTGTTGGGATACTGCTATTTTCCTTTCCTGGATAGCCTACTCGCTGTGCCCAACTAGTGGGTTTGTCTCTTACAGGCAAGTGCCGGTAGGGCTGGCAATATAAGGATGTCTGGCGAGTTTTACAGCATTAAGGTGAAGAAGTAAAGGAATCACTACAATTTCGTGTTCTACCGCGCGCTTGAGACGTCAGCTTAGTCTGGTTAGCGAATCTTCCAGTCTGCAAAAAGTCTGATGACCACGCTCATACTTCAATTATGCACAACATCTCTCTCGCCCCCTTGTATCGCTCATTCGGTTAGTCTCGTAGATTAGGCCCCTTGATTCTAACAGGCTAAGCCCATACTGCTCGAACTAAAGTCCTGTGATGGACTAGGTGGAAGGCCTATCTCTAGTCTTCATTTAATCCCATTTCAACTGGGCTGTCAGCAAAAGTGTCTGCAGTGAATCCCCCAAGAATCTGGAAAAGTATCATAAGGTCTTTCGAACTCGATGCGCACTGTAAAGACCTACAAACCCAGCTCAACGGCTACCACCGCTCCATAAGGACCTCAAAATTACAATAAAAAACTACCCACTCTTCCGACAGACCAACAGCCCCCACTCAGTCCTGTTTAAGCTCAGTAATCGCTTTTCTTTGCCTCCTCCTTTCCTGTCCTATGTCTCCAGAGAAGGAACTCCGCTCGTCGCCTACTTACCCTCATCCTCCGGGACGCGAATAACAAATTTCCCAATCGTTTCGTCCGATGACGAATTACTATTGACAACACGAAGATTCATGACAAAAGTCTCAACAACCGAAGGACGTCATTGTTACCTAACTTCCTACTATATTTTCTGTTACCTGACTTTCCCATTGGTTGTAGTCGTTGAACTCCTTCAAAGGCTCCTCTCATCCGTCCAAATGAGAGGTATCCGCCCCATTACTAGTTGTAGACAAAGAAGGCCACTCGAGTGATTTCAGCCATATCTGCAGTAAAGCCTCTGTGTGTCCTAATTCCTTAGTCTGTTCCTTGTCCCATCACTCCTTAGAACCTTGAAAAATCAACCGTTCAATGTCTGAATGAGTTAGTTAATGTATCCCATATAACACTGTTTATCCTACATTCACCTTAGTTATGAAATATTTGCTTTTACTACGATGTGCAGGACAAATTTATTGAAGGCCTTGATCATATGAAGATTAAAGGCTTACTAATTATTAGGTATTCGCATTGGTATAGGTGAGACAGACGTGTAGGAAGCGACTTGTAGCAGTGGCAGGTGGTTTAACGGGATCTGTGCGCATGATAGCTGTTCCGATCCGGTCCCACCGTCACCTGTGGCTACACAAAGCTGTACGCTGCGTAGCGCTAACAGCCCCGTAAATCCATCGACCGGTCTAAACCACATGTTGGTTGCCGATATTGTTTTCCGTGCACGGGGAAACTCAATGAGACCTGGTTCAGTAAATGAATATGAACCAGTCGCAAATGGTGGCTTTATGTCAAGTTAGTCTCAGCTCCCGACTCCCACTCTCATTCCCCGGATATTCAAAAGCCTCTCGGCCAATTCAAACCGCTTTCCACTCAACTACAGTTTTTGTCCAAACCAGGACTCAGCAGTCACCTGGCTTGCATATGCAATCTCGTTCAGGGAGCCAATACTTTCATCCGATGTGTTTGTCCCCGGACGTCTAACACACAGCTGGGACACCACGTAAAAACAACTCCGTCACCACCCCTCTACTCCCCTCCCCCCCTCGGGAAGCACCGCTAACTTCTGATGGAGGGAATGGGCTGAAAGGTGCCCTAAACAGACACTAGTAATTACACCGTCTGAGAGCTGAATCGGTCTCCCGGACGGTAAATACATAATGGAAGCATCATACAGAACAGAAACTCCGTCCCTAATCTCTCACCCTCCTCGTCAGACTGACTCTACTCACTCTGGTATTTTGAAATGTCTGTTCTGTGTCACATACTTCAATTACCAGTCGACCAAAGCGACCGACCACTCCGGTTGCACAACGAGTAATACGTTTCAATGTGGACACATTTACACTTAGCGAGACCGGCTCTTCGAAACTGGGATGGCTGCGCAAGGTCCATTCATGCTACACCTTGTAGAGCAGTCTTTACAAGGAAGAGTATCGTGATGCAGGAGTTGTCTTCTTCCCCAGAGGCGACCTATTTAGAAGCCTGTCTTATCTCCCTCATGGAATCTTCGGACGCTCCATTCCACTGAGGTTCCCACGTTGCCGGGAAAAATTTGCTACCGTCATCAGCACTGAAGATGCAAAGGGCGGTGCTACGAAGACCCCTACGCCCTCATCGCGTTCATACTGTGGGCGGACCAACTGACTGTCCACAATGACTTGAAAGGCCAAGTTGGCACAGACCACGTCATTTGGGCAAGAGTGCTCAGTTGTCACAGGATACACCACTACACCGGCAACGGACTCCTTCTACTAGGAGACCTGGGCAAGCTACAACCTCCTCATTACCAGTACCATCCATCGACTTCCTAGTCATCAGAATATCTAGATGCACCGATGATCTCGTCAATGACGAATGGTGGATTAGGTACTCGCTAGGGGGCGTGATTTCTATGAAGTTTTAAGGGTGTGTGGGGCCAGGCGCTTTGTCGTCTCGACTGAGGCTGAAAATCGAACCGCGAAGATGGTTTCAAGGGACAAAGGCAGCAGGGAAGCTACCCACAAGTGAAATATAGTTGGATGGGCGCAGCTAGGGACTCTACAACAGAACGTATACTAATCTTAGCCAGGTGGATATCATGGAGGACAAAGACGTTGGTCACAGCTGTCAGAGATTGCGGGAAGCCATCAACAACGCTGTCCCTGACGTAGCTGGGCTTGTAGACCAACAATACCAGCATTGATTCGATAACAAAGACAACGGATTACGACCGAGCTCTGATTAAAACCAGCTTCGCAGGACGTACACTAGCAAAAACAGCCCTAAATACAACCGCAATCTTCCAGTTCTGCCTCCGACTGCAACACAGACCGCAGGAGATACAAAATAACGGGATGGTTACGATGGCAGATCAAACGGGAAGGCACTCAGATCGCGGTCAGATGAAGAACTCCTTCGTTTGCTCCAAGACAGTCTACCACTCTTAGCTGGACGGGACTGCACTGTTGCTCAATGCAGATGAGAGGGCCTTACGAGTGAAAAAATCGCGAATTCTATGGCATTCGAGTGAGCACTTTAGATGCACTATCAATCGTCAATCTTCGATATACGAGGAAAGGGACAAGGGCAAATAAAGCAAGCTTTCTGGTCCATTATCATAGTTAAACTACACAATCGTAAAGGCAACCCGAAAATCTACCACAAAAACCGGAGGATTTCCCCTTCCAGTTTTGACAGGCAAATCTTCGCCTGAGTACTACTAAGTCACCTGAATCTGAGCCAGAAGCAATGGTCTCCTCCAGAGCGTCAATACTGGTCCTAGAAAAACGCTACAACACCGATGGGACCTTCGCGGCGAGACAAGGCGGGAAAAATTCCGAGAAATGACGATTAACCTCCACACCGCCTTCGTGGATCTCACCCAAACCTTCGGCCCCGTGAGCTGGGAAGGCCATTGAAAGGTAGGGAGGAAAATTACGTCAAACGATCCATGGTAGGGACTAGGCAGTCTCACGACGGCGCGGCAGGACACGTGACGTACAGCAAATCAACTCCGAAAGTTTTTACGGTGACAAATGGGATGACGCAGGACTACGTTCTCTCCTCGGAAAATGACCAACAGAAGTGCCGGCGTGCCGCCCTTCATTTATTTTACCACACCATCTAATAGCATATCGAGCCCGTTGGAGACCTGCATAGCCATAACGATATAAGTGATCACTTGTCGTCGGGTTTCCCAGCCAATAGCCAAGTGCCTTCTAACCCGCAGCACATTCACGACAACAATCGCAAAGCACTACTTATAAAACGTCCACAGTATGACGAAAACGACCCTTGTTTGCACCGCCAGCTTTCACCGCATTTCGGGTTAAATAAATGAAAGTGATTATCGTTTCAGTGATGACGAGAACAGCAATTTTGAGAAGTTTAATGCGTAAACCTTGTTTTTTTTTTCATGTAAACTGGAATATTTTAAAATTCTTCGAGTGAAATGTACATATCTGAATATTACTGCGTTGTCGAGATTACATATTTGGCGTCCTTCATGTCACAAGAATTTTTTCATGCTCCAGGAGTGGGCTAACATGGAATCAACAGTCCGCATTTGCTGCCCATAAAAGTAGCGAAGACAACGTTCATTATTTCTGAATTACTTGTCATTGCTAGGCAGTCATATACCAGTCGTAGGTGCTGGCACACCCGAGGTTCGGATCCACGCCCTGTGGGACATTGAGCATAGAAGTCAAATATCCCCTACCAAACGAGTTAGCTTACTCGAGTTCTGTTGGCTGAAATCAATAATATGCGTTGGCATATAAGATTTACTCCTCCTGGCCTATCTTGGCTGAAGGAAGGGCTTCAAGGGATAAGGAATCATTCGGTATTGTCCCTTCTGATAGTAGTGAAAGAATTCGGATTCTTTAAATAGTATAATTTCGCTAACTATAGCCCTGTTTCTCAAAAGCTCGCTCCATGGGCATACATCAATAATTCAGCGGTCATCAGCGAAACCGTTTTTGCAGAATTCTTGGAGTCACAGCTGGAGTTTGAAATATGGGCGATCATTTACCAGATGCGAAACAGTTTTCAACGCACTTAAACAACTCGGGTTGAAAAAAAACCTTCGCTTGGCTGAACTTCAACTGTCGCCCAGCTGGCAATTCAAATTATTTCTGACTGCTTTCTTGCAAATAAGGCAGTATTTTTCGTTTTTCAGTTTCACCGAGAGTGGCCAGCGAGGTGGCGTCTGCGAACATGCTCTTTTTATTTCTTTCATTCCCGCTTCCATGCGACTGCCATTGCTGCTGCTGCTGCTTCTGCTGCTGCTGCTGCTGCTGCTGTTGCTGTTGCTGCTGCTGCTGCTGTTGCTGCTGCTGCTGCTGCTGCTGCTGCTGCTGCTGCTGCTGCTGCTGCTGCTGCTGCTGCTGCTGCTGCTGCTGCTGCTGCTGCTGCTGCTGCTGCTGCTGCTGCTGCTGCTGCTGCTGCTGCTGCTGCTGCTGCTGCTGCTGCTGCTGCTGCTGCTGCTGGCTGGTTTGTTTTTCAGCACGCGTTGAATGACAGTCGGATTACCGACCTCATTTAGTCGATAGCGCTTAAGAGGGCTGTCCAGCTGGACGCGCGTCAAGTCACTTCTCCCTCTTCTTCTCCTCCCCCCCTCCCCCTCCTCCTCCTCCTCCTCCGCGCCCGTCCTTGTGCCGTGCGCCGTAAAGGGCAGAGGGGATTTATTAACGAGCCTACAAAATCCGAAAAACAGAAGAGCAGGATCTGTCATGGGTGGAGTTGGTTTTAAAAGGACGGATTGACTCCAATCGAAGTCGGTACTTCGGAAGGCATGGCCAGCCTCTTTCAGAGACGTTTTTACAAGGTTCGGGCTGCAATTAAAGTAGCAATTATCAGTAGCAATAAGTTGAGAAGATATCATTTGCTTCCCTTTGACTGCGTCATAATATGTTCAATCGCGATATAGATGCCTCGAGCCCACTGATATGACCCATTATGCAGGTCATCACAGCCATCATAATGAATAGGTTTCTCTGGGTACATTCCAAACATTCGTCTTCCTCTTTCAATCAGTGATTTCCTCATACTTACTTCCATTAGTTTCTGAACTGTTAAGACACTTCCTTTATCGCTAACAAGGTAATTCCGGCACAACCAGGTTTGATATTTCGGTTTCTTTAAAGCTATATGGTACAGAAGACTTGGGCTATGTCTAACTCTAGAATGGTGGCCGTTTTAGCCAGAACACAGTCTAAATTAAACTGCTTTAAAAAACAAAAAATCTAGTTAAAAAAACTAACTTAAGTGACAATTTTGTATTCTAGAGAAAATAATCCCGGGATGATCATTTAATTTTCTGCCATAAAATGACTGAAGGAATGCGTTTTGGTCGATGATGCGAATGCTTTTCGCTTGAACTGAGGTTCTTGGTCCATAAGTCTAGGCCTTATCATGACTTAAATTCCTGGTCGTGTTTGTTGTTGAGCAGAGGGTGCGGTGATACGTCTAGGTTCGGGTTCGGCCGCGCCAGCCACCTACGCCCTCCCCCGCCTCCGGTCTTGACTGTCTTGGCACGGGGCCCAAGTGGAGAGGGGGAGAGAGTGCGGTAGATGCTGCGTAAATTTACTCTCACTATAAACTAATTCATAAGCAAGTCACCGTGCCTGCTCCGCCTAGCTGTGGAGCACACGGTGGACATCGTTGGACACGATGGCCGGACATTAATGACTTAAATCCTGCAACTCTAAACAATCTAAGTAAACATGCCGTCAAGCACACAACTTGAACCACGATTCTTAATGTCAGTCTTGACTTAACCATTACACTTAGGATGAAAATATCCAGCGAAGAAGTGCAAAAGCGTCTGAGCGACTGCCAACAGTTGGAGATTGGTCATCAGCTCCAATGACCAAATCCGCCCAGCTTACGAATCACAGCTGGCCAATATAATATCTCCGATGATGCAGCTAGAAAACCTGATAGGCATAAAAATGCTGTTTCCGAAAGAGTCAGGAGTAATTCTAAATAGACCAGGAGTTCAAGATTTTGAACCGGTATTCCACTGTTTCCAATGTCGAAAAATAAACGATGCAACTTCATCGAGCGCTGTGGAAGAAAGTAAGCGAAACTTCATTTGTCCCTAACTACTGGGAAGACTAAACTGCGCGTCATTCAAGCACTACAAAAAGACCTTTCACTACGCCTTAGGGCTAGTTCGGGGAGTTCGTATCCGGCAAAGACTTGAAAAAAGAAATACTCCTGGAGAAGAATCCGAGATGGGGAAAAAATTTCCTTGACCGATTGGTGATATTGGAAAATTCACATGAGTACACCCGGGCATATGAACCCGAGAGCGTCTAAAATACTGATGAAACTCGTCTACTCTCTGTAATCCTACGATGTCATGCAGTGAAGGAAACACAGTCGGCGAGAGGTAGAAGAAGACAAAATGCAGACAAACAAGAGTTGTCACCACTAATGCCACAGGCTTCCGCCGAATTCTGTGAAAGGTTCTTGAGGAATCAGTCCAAAATGCCTGTAATGATGCAGGCAGGTTAAGTTGCCAATAGACTATACTTGACAGAAAAAGGCGTGGATGGGTATGTAATTCTGTGTTAATTAATTTTTCATATTGATTCAACTGTGAAAAACTCGGCGCCTCGGTGGGATTCGAACCCACGCAGTAAGGGGAAGGCTTTAGCGCAGCCAACGCTCTAACCACCTGAGCTACGAGGCCCCGCCGGACGACGCGAGTTTAATAACATTTGGGTCAAGTTACCCGCCCAACCTACTGCAACGTCTGGAATCCACCAAATCTGATACAGTAAGTTGACTGCCCAAGCAGGATTTCCTAAGTAATTCACCTAGAATCCACCAGATGACTACCAGGCTCGCGTAATTCATTGATATTTTGGCAGATTTTGAATAATCCATATTGACCCAACTGCGGGGTTCGAATCCCACCGAGGCTCAGAGTTTCTCACAGTTGGGTCAATATGGATTATTCAAAATCTGCCAAAATATCAATGAATTACGCGAGCCTGGTAGTCATCTGGTGGATTCTAGGTGAATTACTTAGGAAATCCTGCTTGGGCAGTCAACTTACTGTATCAGATTTGGTGGATTCCAGACGTTGCAGTAGGTTGGGCGGGTAACTTGACCCAAATGTTATTAAACTCGCGTCGTCCGGCGGGGCCTCGTAGCTCAGGTGGTTAGAGCGTTGGCTGCGCTAAAGCCTTCCCCTTACTGCGTGGGTTCGAATCCCACCGAGGCGCCGAGTTTTTCACAGTTGGATCAACATGAATTATTCAAAATCTGCCAAAATATCAATGAATTAATTAATTTTAGCAAATATTATTGCATGAAGTGCACAGGAGCACTGGATGCCCTATGCTGCTGCCTCCTAAAATGGACTCCTAGAAAGTTCATAGAGAACTCGAAAGCGGCAGAGCTTGAAATGAGTTTCCTCCCCCAACTGCATATCATAGCAGCAACCTTTTAGTCAAAGGTGCTATTGTTGCTGCAAAGAAATGTTCCGAGTATTTGTGATTGGCGGATTAGTTTATATTTTGCGCCTTCTAAGCGGCGAAAAAGGAAAGAATGGGAGGACTTGGTAAAAAGTTTGCCAGGGCGATGTAGACTGTAACTCGGGATGGTAGCCCGTCGCACGGTATTGAAGGAGTGAATGGAATAGCATCCCACGCAATGGAATGTTCCAATACATTTCAAAACCTGGCCTAAGAAAGTACATTACATGTAGCTGAAAAAAAAAGAGATACGTGGTGAGCATTTCAACTCTAGTGCAAAGTTTTCAAGAATAATTTTTCGAGAAAGCTGGTAAAGTCATTATAGAAGGCACCAATAGGGCCCTTGACGAAACTGTTACTAGTTCTGATGGTGCTGACGATAATGGTCGTTCAGAAGAAGAAGCGATCGCTGGAACAAGATCTTTATTCGTCTGACGTTTCGGACTCGCACCTGAATCCACCATCAGAGACAGTAGCAGAAGAGCAATCATCACACCAGCATTCAACACGGGTGATGACATTTCGGTAATTAACAACTCGCATGCCGGCCAGCAAGCAATTAGCGCACCAGCGGGCAACGATCCTTCATGAAGGGGAGCGCGGTTAATTGCTATAGGTATGCGGTAGCATAACGACTGCATCCTATAACTACTGAAACTTCCTGTGCACGAGTCACCCTTTTCTGCTACTGTCTCTGATGATGGATTCAAGTGAGAGTCCGAAACGTCAGGCGAATAAAGACCTTGTTCCAGCGATCGCTTCTCCTTCTGATCAACTAGTTCCTGGAACTCGCATTTTCGCTTGTATCGATAATGGTCGTGACGACAGTAATGATACAAGTGAATCGTCAGTTGCTGCGCGTTTTTCTTTCGCAGAATGGGACGGTTTACATTAAATAAGTCGTCCGAATGAAACACTGTGCCGATCAGACGCAGAGATTCCGCTACTGCATACTAATTTCCTTACATGGAAATTCCTACAAAATGGGAGAACGAATCGGGCTCAACACTTGCTGGGAGACAGGATGGGCTCGTTACGTACTGTTTCTTATGGACATTTCTGATATTACCAAACGTCCACAGGTAACAATACGGATTGGATGAACGCTAGTATACAATGCACAGTCTTTATCCCAATAAATGTTAAGCTCGACTTGCTTCCCCTTTTTTGTGAGTACTTAGCAGAATGTGGCATAATTTACCATACAGCAGAGGTACTAGGTAAAGGCCCAGACACGTGCTTCGCCGATATTCTGTCGCTGCATGATACAACGGCGAGGAGTTCGGCCCATCTGAGTGCCTCCCAGCGTCCCCATGCGCTTTCTGGTAGGCACTACAGGTTTGACATCCCAGCTTTTTAATCTCCCCAGAAAGGAATCCTCTAATTCGGTGCAAATCCGTCGGAATGGAACTTCATGGGCCTTCTGGAAGTCGACAGGAATATTTGATCCGAACTTCCCCAGTTTCAGCGGGACAAACGATTAATATTCATAAACTGCTCACAGGTAGGCAGTGATATATACATGTTGCATGATTTCCCAAACTGACAGCTCAGGTACCACACATACTACCTCGCGGTTTGGTCAGACGATAATGCTAATGGCGCGGTATCACACAAGTGCGCCTCGAGCATGTGGTTGGGTGCAAAAACGAGGGGCTGGTCGCTATTTCGCAGCTGTAATCATGCTCATTCAAAATTTAGGTGACCCGCTAGCACGGGAGCCCATACCGACAGCACTGGACTTGACGCCTCACCCGGCCATTGCCGGGGAGCCAGTGCACCGGACCGACGAGTGAAGCCTGTGGGCGACTAATCATGGCCGCCTGTCAGTCTATCACGAGTCCATCATCACCGCCTCCTACTCTTCCTCGTACGCACGCACGCACGCACGCACGCACGCACGCACGCACGCACACACACACACGCACGCACAAGCAAGATTGCGTGCACGCCATTGTGGACTCAGGAGCGCCACGCCACACTCGGTTTTACTGCTTCATCTAGCCAATTCAGGTGACGCTTACGGGCCAGGAATAACAGACACGCACACACATACACACACACACACGCACCACACGAGTGCGGCGCGCCTAGACAAAACCATGTGCGCATTCTGCGTCTTGTTCTCCTTTTGGACGCGGCACGCTCGTTATCGTCCCTGCGCGCGCTCTCTTACTGGCTCCCACTCCCTTTCGTCGTGATGCCACAACAGCAGCATCTATTGCAAAGACTTTAAGCCTTCTCGTTCGCCTCGTCATCTGCCTGGACCGCCACTTGGCCTGGCCGCCAGTTCTTTACCACAAGCTTTCCTCGTCTTCTCTATTGCGGAATGTTAAATTCCTGTGCATGTCCCGCGTGGATTGTATTAACTGTCCCCTCCGTTCACGGATTCTAATCCTGATTTGCCTACTCTGGACCTGCGTACAGCATTTTCGTAAGTCCTGCATTCCGCCGTTACCACCCTCTTCAGTGTAGTTCTATGTTCTTGGGAATTTTCCGTATATTTTGGGTCTTTCGATTTTAAAACTTACTCGTCTAGCGAGAGTGGTGAATGGACTTGCATCCACTTTGGTTCCAATCTATTCCTTAGGTCTACCACTGGTTTTTGAAGGTCCTGACTGCAGTTCGCAGAAATTTTCGACCCCGACGAACAACTACAGTGCAAAGGGACACTCAGTGTATCCTCCTCTCGTACTGTAATAAGAAATGCCAAGCAATGACAGAAGAGGGAGCATAATTGCATAATTGCTTAACGCCTAATTTTATGTCAGTAGATGGTTGAAGTACTGTTTGAGACGTCCGCACATCCTGGTGCCTGCTGTGTTTGCTATCTGAGATTAAGGCCAGCCGCCGACGGGAAATAAGCCAGAAATGGCCAGTTCGGTCTCCCTTGCTTTGTCAGTGGCACTTTTCGATTTCTACTACCGCCGAAAGGAGCGAGTTCCCTCTGTCTAATCCATTTGCGACCAGGAGAGCATTAGAAGGCAGCCATGGAGGGGCTTAGGAACGATGGTCCTACACTGCCTCCTAAGCACACGGGTGGCCAAGTAGCCAGCCTTCCCTCACTACGTAGTGTAACGTGCCGTCTCCCGAATTAGCTGAATTTGCGGGATGCCACGTCTCTACTTTTCGTTTATGACATGGAACTCAGATCTGATTAGTAAAAGTGCCCTGCTGAATGTAATACTCGAAACTGTACATAAATAGTTACAGGCAAGATTACCCGTCTAACAGATGTTCGGTGCTTTGTCGTTCATCCATTTGCAGCGATTACAGCAGAAACTGGTCTGGATCGGCGTTTACCAAGCTTGTAAATCGTTATGTGGGGCAGCCGCTTACATGCTATCGCTAAAGCGTCGGCGAGCGAGCGAGATAGACGGTAGTCGCAACCATCGGACCCTTTCATCCCTATTAGTCCCGGGTATGTTGAATAACCTTGGGTTCCACGAAACGTCTGACCCCAAGACTTGGTGTGAATGTGTCCGGTTGAGCGAGACATTGTCATCCTGTTGGATGCTTCACGATGTCCCGGACGCTGACCTTAAGTTTTTCCCAGCACTCCCCTGTTCTGCTTATTGGTTAAGTAGATCACTTTTACGTTAGTTCCTATCGTCTCTTCTAGACCCACTGACCCATTATCTCATTCGTTTACCAAGCGTCCTAGTTTTGGAAGTTGACAATCACCCACGTTCGACACAGGGAAGGGTTATAATTAAGTGGTCGCTGGTTTCCCTTTGCGACACATATGCGTAGAGGAGGGTGTTATTTTTTAGTCAAAATGCTATCCTTTCCGCAGCTTTTATGGAAGGATGTTTTGACTGACGGCGTACGAAACTAACAGACCTCGGGGTTATTGTCAAGAGTTTTAACTTTAGACACTATAAAACGAACGGCTTTATGTGTTTATTTGGTTTCAAGTAGTTGGTGGCTACAGCTGCGCTACATCGGGGGAATTCTAATACGTCTACCGCTCATTGGTCCGTCTAGGCTAACGATAAATCCACAAGGTGCTAATCTGCTTGGTTAATGGAATTTTCTGCTGAACCTGAGCTGTTACGTTTCGAACAGAGAAAATAGTAAGCTTATCTCTGTGTGTTTAACGTATTTCTCAGTTTGGAAGCAGTTGCTTGGCGAAAGACGGCACTAAAATTTTATGCGCTTACTGTCACGAATTGACGACGGGGCCCATAACACAGAACAAGTGTTACTTGTAGCAGACATGCAGGAAGTACAGTATTTATAAGATGCAGTCACTATACAACCGTAAACCTGCTAAAATTAGCAGATTCATCGCAGATGTTCGTACTTGTTTGGTGGTTAACATCCGTGAATCTGAAAGTCCAGGCTAATACCATTTTTCTTTCGGCGATCGAGTCTTCTTATCAGCACCAACTACCTGGGCTTACCATTCCCCGTCTTGCACATCACTCAGGAGGGGATCGTCCTGTCATGATACCCATCCCAAGAGAGGGAAGGAAGAGCGGGTGCGGCAGACGCTGCGCAGGTTTGCTATCGCCACAAAATTATTCAAGCTCAAGTTATCGTTCTGCGCTCAACACGTTGTGTGACACACAGTGGACAGCGTAGTTCGCAACGGTCGGACTGACATGTTTAAAGGCAATAGACGATGCCTTTGTTGTCAAGTAGGAGGCGTTCACTTCGAGTGGGCGTTCTAGCCGGACGTCGGACAGGTGGGACAAATTCAGGAATACAGTTGTGATAGATGACGAAGTGGCGGAGGCGGCTGTCGGAAGTAGCTTCCGTGGGTTCCAGTTTCGCCTCCGCTACATCGAACGTTCAAACCATTGTACTGCGCACTTGGGATGCAGTCGAGCGAGTCCGGTGTGGTCTGCTCGTTGTTGCGTCAAATTTGATCAACTGGGCTCGTCCAGCACATCTGTTTGCGTTTTTTGCGCATTAGTGGCAGGATTTATTGAAGGTGGTTTCGCTGTCGGAGGCAGACACAAAGGTAGTGTGAATACTGCATTACTTTGACCTTAAGCATGCATCGGAAGGAGTTCGACTTTTTCCTCAAGATTCCGGTTGTCTTGCCGTTTTTCTTGGTGTATTCAGTGGATTTTAAAGATCGCAGCTCCGCTTACCACGCCTGCTGATCCTGAGGGTTTACGGGGACTTATGGTCGTCTCCAGCATTTCTTAGACGTCTCTTTATCTTGCTTTATCGATAAGAGCTCGCCATAACTGCAGCATAGTACAGTTGCTTCGTAGCGTCTGATCCTACATCTTGAGGAAGTAGAGGTTCCAGTTGTGCGTCCCAATTTTAAGACCGTTTATGGGATTTGTTACTGTCGTTTCACTTTCTGGTGTCTGCGGAGACTGTTGGTCGGGGCGGATGGAATTTTTTTGAATTCTACAGGCCGTCTTTTTCTCCGGATCATAGGGCGGTGTTAGCGCAATTACGTCCTTGTACATCCCCAGTTTCGTGTTGAGGAGTCTGCCGAGCCGATTCCAGGTCGAAGATTGTATCCTGTCGAGAGTCTGACTGGGATCTGGGTTCATGGTTCGCGCTGGGACCACTTCTACTCTGTAAGTGATGCGGAGCAATCTATCGCTGTCCGAGCTATTTGTTAAGCTTCTTCAGGGTTGTACATCCAGACGTTTTATTTTCAAACGACAGGTGGAACCTTCTTGCTGATGAGCAAACCCAGGCCTTATCAGTGTTCATTGACCAGTGCGTCTGTTTTCTTCGCATTGTACACTCATTGTGCATTACTGTTTATCTGGGCGACAGAACAGCTCATCCTTCGGGCTCGCAACTGCTGTTTATTGGATAAACTGGAATCGAGTAGAGTTCGGGGGCCGAATATTTCTAGCTGGTGAATTAACTGTTTGAACCAACCATAGATAACATTAGCTTTCACATCCTTATACCGGTCAATGCCCTTCTTATTCGGTTAGTATGGGGAGAGTGATCACTTCGCGTGTGCGTGTGTGGCCGTTTGCACTTCATACTCGTGTGACCGAATTTAGAAGCCACTACGTGCTTCGGGGTAGAGTCGGAGGGTCGCCAGCTGTTGTCTGCTTATTCACTTATTTCGGTCCTGAGACGTCCTGGGGTCAAGTTGGAGGGTGATCAGCCGCACACATTGCAGTAGCTTGAGATCGGCCTTAGATTTCTGCGACTGGAAGTCCTGCCTACTGGATATGCTGAGCGCTTTCCACTCACAATTTTGCCGTTTGGCCTTCAACTTATATAGTCTTGTTTTTTTGAACGTCACCACTTCGTGTCTACAACTGAGCCAAACCCTGCTGCCGCCTCAGCATGGTTCGCCTAATTTGGCCATCAGAGGACTAATGTGAAAGTTTCCCCGTGCCGTCTACTAAGTCTTCATTTTTCGACCCCTGAACGGTAGTGACTGCGCGGGATTGTTCTCTCATCCCTTCTTCGTGACATCGCGCAACTCCTCTGCGTTGCCACTAGGTCCGTCTTGTGTGATAGATTAAGTGTGCGCCTTTCTCGCCTCGCGACGGCTTCTGTATTTATGTCGGCATCCTCGTCCTTGCGACCTGCTCTCTTTCTCGCTCTCTCTCCCTCACTCAATTTGGCCTTCTTTCGCCCACAGGAAAGGAAGGGGAGAAGTGAATGCGGAGCCGGGCAGGTAGCTGCAGTGCGCACGGGAAAGGTAGGAGCGAGGCTGATGGCGGTGACGCATTAGGGAGGGGAGCGCACTGTAGGGGCAAAAGGCGCGGCCACTTCTCTGGGTTTGGGAGAAAAAGGGTCTGCACATGCCGCTGCAGTAGCAAGGCTAGCGTGTTTGTCTCTGTCCTATCTCCACCCCCCCTCCCCCGTCTGTGTTCACAATACTCGGCACGTCCATTTTCTACTTCCTAATCCGTGACACAGTTTCCCAACCCCCGCCTCCCCCTCTCCCGGCCTGGCTCTCGCTGGTCGCTCGTCATACCACTTGCGTTTGCCTAGTGGCAGTACGCACATACGCAAATCGACAGACCTTGATGATGCTAGTGGTGGGGAAGAAGGAGGAGAAGGAGGAGGAGCAAGAGCAGGAGACTGTCAGCATTCCCCTACTTGTCATCATTGCCCTCTATACTCCTCCCCACCACTCGCATTTCCACTTTAAGCAGCCCGTTCCACTCCGGTCGGCTTTTACAGTCTCATTCGCTCAACGCGAGCTGTTTGGGCGACCAATTCTACCTTAATTGCCTTACCAAGTCGTATGGCTTGCTTGTCAGCAAGAGGATGGCGATACGCAGATATAAGTTGGGAAGGTCCCTCTGCAGTGTCATGACTACTGCACGTATAGACTGGCGCAGATGGACAGTCAAAAACACATTTCGATCTCCGATTTATGACGCGTCTGGGCCTCTCTTGAAATCACATTTCAAGAACGTCTACCAGTGCTCTTTTCGTGGTTACTTGCCAGAGGAGACAGTTTCTGAATTTTATAGCTATCAACAAGGCAGGTCTTGAAAAGTTTTCTCTATGTAGCATATTCCCGCAATTCGTTTTGACCACAGATTACTGTCTTAGTCTCAGACCCAATCACTGAATCTCATCAACGAATAAAAAATTGATTTTCATAACAGGGATCTGCGATGGACACGTTCTCGGCCAATTAAAAAAAGTATTTCCTAGAAAAATTTCTCCCTTAAAAATGTTCTTTGTGTTACTTCGCAAGTGAACACCCACCGCTTAGTCTTCTTTCAAACTAAAATCAAGCAGAAAACTGAAGCGTCCTCTGCCCATGCACTTGCCTGACTGATGCTGATGGTTTCTGCGCACACAGTGAAAATGATATTTTGGTCTATTTGTTATGGGACTGTTTTGGTTAGTTCTGATTAGTTTTAGGCCCCATTCTGTTTTTTATGTTTTTCAAACGACCAGCGCGGTGATTTGACACACACTTTGTTCCCTGCCTTTATTCTCGAAATTTTCCACCACTTTCCCGATCTTGAGATAAACAAACTCGCAAAAAACGACTCTGAAATTAGGAACTACTGGTATGATCCAACCCTAACTTAATGGCTGTCCGAAGTACTCAATCCTACTACCTAACTCTCCACGTAGTCCTAACCTAAAGTAGCAAAATAGTCCGAATACGTCTGTAGCGGGAAGTATAACAACAGGTGTATCTGACCGATGCAGATGCCCGTTCCGTTTCTGAATGACGTGTTGGTTGGAAATATACCATACAAAAGCCTTTTACTATAGTTGTGGAAATTAAAGCGGAAGAGACATGGCCGGCCGTTTCGCGGTACCTTTTAGAGTATGCGTTTATACCTAGAACCCACCGGTCTGGCCAAGCAAGAGGTTTCCCGTTTGTCCTATTACTGTTTATCGCACACAAACACGCGCCAACTTGTACGATTTGAAACCGAATGCGTTTACCTCTTTCTCGAAACGGTTGTCCACATCTTGCCTCGCCTGACTTGCGCAGACTTCAAAGTCGCGTTCAAATTCCCCAAGGCTTTTTAGGACCTTTTTGGTTTCAGTTTGCCATTGGAATCCGCGAATGTACACCGGTGTGGTCTATGCTAGTTATTAGCACGGGCGATCGCCTGGACAAAAATACAAGTTGATTCCCACTCAAGATATCGGTAAAGTGGCCTGGAAATGTATTCCGCGTGAGACAAGAGCGTTTTACACTGCGCGTTACTAAAACGCAAAATGTCAAGCATACTCCATACCGACCATCTGTTTTTTGGTAATAGCGTTTTACCAGTTTTGACACTTACTGTACCTTGAAGCTGACTTATGAGAGTTTAATTAGGGGTCTTAAGGACCCAGTAACTTCAGATTGCTTCATCATTCAACAGTATCTTCGCGAATTGCCATCCTT